CTATTTAAAAAATACACAAGTAATTAAGAAAAAAAACTTTTTAATCAAGAAAAATAGTTATATTCTTGACTTTCTAATTAAGAAAAATAGTCATATACTTATACAATAAATACTTAATACATATTACAGTAAGCATTGGTATACAAAAGAAAAGTATCACAATATATTGTAGATCAAATCTTCTATCACAATAAATATAGATTTTTCTTTTAATCATGGTCGCTATATTTAGATCTTATGGGCAAACAGAACATGTGATATAAAAATAATAAGAATTTATAAAATCTTTTACCAACTAAACACAAGTTTTAAATAAACAATCTTACACTATCTTTTCAATAAAATTCTATGTAGAGATAGACAAAAGACCAAAATGTATACAAAGTCAGAGTGTTAAAAAATATTATAATAAAATAAGTATTTTTTATTTAACATCAATTACACTTACAAGCATTGATATATTAAAAAGCATTATGTCTAAGAATTAAAAATAAAAATTATAGTAGTTGTAAAATGATTCAAAAACATTTAAGTAAATAAATGTGAGAGTAATTTCTAATTAAGATCTTAATTGCTTTGCACCACAATCCATCAGAATATAGTATGTGGAAAATGATATATATATATATATATATATATATATTATTTATTTTTTGTGCTAATTAATTTCCATATTAAATTATATGTGAAAATATATTCTAATTCTATTTAAATGAGATCATCACAATTAGGTTTTTCAAATAAGTGATTTTTTATGGTAGGATTTTAGTTCATTTTATTGTGGTTTTTAATCTTATCAAATTAGCATTGAAGAAGATTAAATATTATTAGAGACAAAGAAAAAAATATAAATACTACACAATAGACACTTTGTTTTTTTTCCAAGATAACTAGTAATCAAATGCTACAATTTAAGTTGAAAAAATTTAATTTGAATAATATGTTTAAAATTATACTAATATTAAAAAAATATGCAAAAGACGATATATATATATATATATATATATATATATATATAATAAAAATAATAACGTTCTAATTTTGTTATTTAATAAGTTTCTTAATAAAAATTTATTTAATTATTTTTATAGTAGATGATTTTTATAAAAATAAAATTATAAATGGCTTTTACTTTCTCTCTCTTTTACTTTTAAATGAAAAAAGACTATAGTGAAAATTATGAATTTTTTTTTAAGTTTAAATAATGAAATAATTATAAAATTATAAAATAACAGGTAGTAATGATCGTTGTTAATTGAAAAATAAAAATACATTTGCTACAAAATTTATTTGGAAAATCCATTGCAGATGAACATACAATATTTTTTTGTAAATTTAGTGATAGATTATAATAAAAAAAGTTATAACTAATCTAAAATATTATTTATCAAATAAAACCTATAAATTCTTACATTTATCCTTAAGAAATAGTTAAACAGAATTCAACTTTTATAGTATATATATATATATATATATATATCAGCTTTATGTTGCTTCCAACTTAGAAGTTGCATGGTTCAAGTTGTTGATGTGCTCCTTATTACAATGGATATTTAAAATTTGGTTGAACTTAGACAAAAAATGAGATTTTAGTACAAAAAAATTTAAATAATTAAATAAATTAATAATCTTCAAATCAAAATCAAATCATATCAAAGTGATTAGTAAGACTTACCAAGATTTAATGTATCAATAAGTACAATTATCTTCAATGATGACTTATTTTCTTTTGTATACAAATTTATTATCATGTAACTTAAAAGTATTAAATATGATATATAAAATAGAATCTATACTAATGTGATTTTGATTGTTAGAGTATTTAACACATGATAATAAACTAAGTAGCATGGAAGACTTATTACAAGACAAAAATGGCTTTTGATGTAAGTATTATTATTTGAAAAGAAGAAATAAATTTATTTTAAGAAGATTACCTTACAAGTATATTAAAACTTCAAAATTTTGTTAGATGTAGATTTTTTGGACTATTATACATAAATGTACAAACAACAGATTGACTTCATTTTTTTATATCTTTTAAGGTTATTATTATTATTATTATTATGTGCACTTTGAATAACATTACTTTGGTAGGATCCAAAACAGCACTTGATGAATTACATAAATTTCTAAATACAATAAAAGTGATGTGTAAAAACTTAATGTAATTCATCCAAACTATATATAGACAATGGTTGTTTATTCTTTGGTTTGATGAAGGTCCTTCATTTCAACCACCTTTTCTTTTTTGTATAAATATGTGTAAAAGTTAAGGATGATATTTAGCCACCACCAAGTAGCATGGTATGCAATTCATTGGATATAATTTTGACCATTGAAACATCTAATATAAAATTTGCACAAAACTAAAAATAAAAAGATGTTAATGTGGCTTCCATTCAATTAAAACACTCGTATCAATGTATTATATATATTTTTTTTTTCTGGAAAACTGAGATATTTTGTTAGCCTTTTTATTCTTAAATGTTTCATATGATATTGCGTAGGCTTTAGAATTGTGGTCAAGCCAAATTGAGTTGAAATTCTTTTATATGTATAAATAAATATCTAAAATATAAAATCCTTGAAAAATAATCACGTCTCAACAAAAATAAAAAATAAAAAATAACGTAAAAACTTCATGATAGATTAAAAAAAAACATGATGCAATTTGTTTCTTTTTTAAAAAACGTGTTTATTGATCACGTTGATCCAACTTGATGAATACCTTTCAAAATAAATTTGGAGTGATCAAGAGGCAAAACAATAATAATTTAAGAATCACATGGTCAAGTATTTAGAAATATGTTAAAATATATCTAAATTTATATATAAACATGATCAACACAAACCACAAAAATGGCTAGATCTTACCATGAATTTGTTTTGGAAGGATAGATTGAGGATGGCCAATAATACACTATATTATGACTGTCATGTAGATGGAGCACGTGATTTTCTCATCGTGGGATTGTAATTTGTATTTTTGTCAAAGGCATACAAGTACAACGGACAAGTTCATAATTTAGACATTAGTGTTTGTGGTCTTTCTGCTTCAGATGCCACGATTCCTCTTTTCATCTCAATCAATGTATGAGTTCTCCCGGTTTGTGTCAAAAACCTAAGAAAAACAAACATTGAAATAAACTTAGTTTGCTGGACAAATCATTTCCGAGACCATCCTGTCTCTTCAAAGTGTTCATTCCAAATGGTCAATACGACTTTATAAAATTGGCTCCAAGAGCATGTTCTGAGTACTTTGGCTCATTATTGTTACTGTTATTCCGGTGTTTACACCGGATGGAAGGCCGCATTAGATACATTTGTCTGTAGTGCGAATGAATGCGCAAGAGATACTCCGTTGAGGATAGATGAATTGTACAAACGGAATCTTTGTGGTGAGTAATTTTGTTTGATGCAGATTGGACCAATTTGGAAAGGCGACAGCAAAGACGCTATTTTGCAAAGCCTGACATCGACACACTGACTTAGAGTTGCTAAAAATGCTGTCTGGTAAAAGACAAAGGGAGTTCAAAAAAGCGAAGAACAGATGAAGCTGAATGAGTCATTTCTACAACACCATCGAATTCACTACCAGCTTCCTGCCCCCACATTCTAGGCGAATCGCACCTAAAAAGCGTCTTCTTTTTCACCCGGCCGAAAAACCAGGAAAGTATTTTTTTTTCTTCTTTTTACTATGCCTCGGAGTGAGCGTGTCATGGCAGAGCAAAAGAATTTAAAAAAGTCCCTGCTCATGAAATGAGGAGGACCACATTCAGACCATTTCAGATTCCCTTTTGCCGAAGTATGTGATAGCTAGATGGCAGGGCAGGATTGATGGAGGGTGAAGAAGCTCAGAGCAGGCAGGGCCTAGTGCTAGACCACGCGCCTGTAGAGTTCAGGATTTCTCTGCGATGCGCAGGAGTGAGCCAAGCGTTCGTGTGTATAAGCCCCTCCTGGTGATGAGCTTCAAAATCTTAAACAAGTGCACGCATATCCTTCCCTTCTCAACCTCTCTCTCCTCTGGGTGTAGATACCTCTCTTTCCCTCTTGAGAGTTCTCCTTGCCTTCCCCACCCCTCTTCCTTCCCGCATAACCTGAGCGTTTGAGGGATCCCTTTACACGGTTCCTTTCGCTGGCTGTGTTGGTGAAGCAATTGGGTGTTGTACAAACTGTATCAGTTACGAGTAATAGTTGTATATGTAGTCAGGTTGTTGTTGTTGTTGTTGTTGACGGTTCCATCTGCGTTTGATCTGGTTGGGTGAGAACGTTGTGCGTGAACTGCGACAGTTGGCCACTGTCGAGTAGGGAGCGAATTCGTGTCGTCGAGTTTGCTGTCGACGTTTCGCTGCGACGCCTGGGACGCGCCAGGCTGCATTTATAGAAGGGTGAGCTGCATCCTTGCGCCATTTCTGCGAGGGTGTGGGCTATCCGTCACCACGACGAAGTTCGTGTGGGTATTGGTGGCGGGCTGAGTGCCGGATGTGATCTGGTTGTTTTTCATTTTTGCAGAATTAGGTTATTGGGAAGGAGCGTAAGGGTGGTTGTTGCTTTGGTTTCAAGCGATTGGGGGGTAGGTCCGTGTGATTGTGCTGCACTGGGCACGTCTTGAGTTGCACTATAACAGCGTAGCCTTACGATTGCGGCGGTTTTTGCAGAGTTCCTGAATGTGATAATGGAAGCCAAAACTGGTAAAATATCCCTAAAAAATTCTGTTCAATACGAGTGTCCTCTTGACTACGTGATTGAAGACGTCCGTCCTCACGGTGGTAGCGAGAAGTACCGCAGTGCAGTATACTCCAATGTAAGATTCACTACCCTTTCTTTCGTTCAATTGTGTTTTCAGATCTTCGTTTCTCTGCCGAACCGGAATTGAAGAAGACTCGTAATTTCCGTCTCTCATATCATAATATATGGTTAAGTGCTGAGATTGCGGGGATCGAACTTAAGCAGGACTTGACTGTGTGGCAATGTGCAGTGTATGCGGAAGCCTTCCTGATGTTCCCTGGATAAATGGTTCATTCTGTATTCTGGGTTCTCTCATCTGAATAATAGACCAGCTGCAGCCTAATTCGCTGCTCTCGATAAGTCTGTCCTCTCTGCGCTGTAGATATTCTTGATCGACAGACATTGTAAAACAAATTGTGTGTATAGAGGCAATTGTGATCATGGGAGGCACAACGTGTGCAACACAAGTGGCCCCGGCGTCTGGCGCGTGTGTGTCGACCAGCCCGGGGTTCGAAGGGTTCGAGAAGCGCCTGGAGGTCGAGTTCCACGCCGCGCCGGTGTTCAAGGATCCCAACGGACGCGGGCTGCGGGACCTGACGAGGGCGGAGTTGGACACGATGCTGCGCGTGGCGGAGTGCACGATCGTGGCGCAGATGAGCAATGCGGAGCTGGACTCGTACGTGCTGTCGGAGTCGAGCCTGTTCGTGTATCCGCAGTGCATTATCATCAAGACGTGCGGCACCACGAAGCTGCTGTGCGTGGTGCCGGTGCTGCTGGAGGCGGTGGCGCGGCTGGCGATGAGGGTGAGGCGCGTGAAGTACACGCGCGGGACGTTCACGTTTCCGGCGGCGCAGCCGTATCCGCACGGGAGCTTTTCGGAGGAGGTGGGGTATCTGGAGAAGTACTTCGGGGGCGTCGGGGACGGCGGGCGGGCGTACGTGATGGGGAGCCGGGGCAAGTTCCCGCATTGGCACATCTACACGGCGTGCGACGCGAATGCGGAGGATGCGAAGGCGGAGGAGGGAGTGTACACGCTGGAGATGTGCATGACGAAGCTGGACAAGTACGCGGCGGGGCAGTTCTTCAAGGGGAGCGGGAGGGAGAGCGGGTCGGAGATGACGCAGGCGGCGCGCATCCAGAGCTTGCTGCCGGGGTCGCGGATCTGCGACTTCGCGTTCGACCCGTGCGGGTACTCGATGAATGGGATCGAGGGAGCGGCGCACTCGACGATCCACGTGACGCCGGAGGAGGGGTTTAGCTACGCGAGCTTCGAGGCGATGGGGTACAGGGGCGGGGACGTGGACCTGGGGGCGCTGGTGGAGCGGGTGGTGGCGGTGTTCAAGCCCGCGGTGCTGGCGATGAGCGTGCACGTGAGCGGGTGGGCGCGCGGGCGGGCAGGATCGGGGTCGGGGTCGTGGGGGGCGTCGGTATGTCCGCGCGGGTACGTGTGCAACGGGAGCAGCCGGCAGGAGCTGGCGTGCGGGGGCGCGGTGGTGTTCCACACGTTCCAGGACGCGACGAAGCTGGGGCGGGCGACGGCGGTGACGCCGCTGGCTTTGGCGCGCGGGGCGTACATCAGGAAGCGGGGCTTGAAGAAGATGTCGATCAAGGGGATCAAGTTGAAGAAAGAGACGGGGGCGAGCGCGGTGGCGGTAGGCATGGTGAGCCACTTCCACTGTTGCAGGCTTGGCGAGGCTTGATTGTTGCGTGTTGCGTTTCGGGGTGCTGTTAGTAGGTGTTGGTGATCACGGGTTGGGTCACTTAGAATTCGCATTATGATTGTGGTTGTGTTCATACTTGGGTTTATTGAGTTTTTCGTCTTGAAATGTTTGGAGTCGGCATCATAAGGTAAACTGATGCTTGGTTTGGTCGTGGCTTGTACGACATGAGTTGATATTACTCTTTTTTGACTTGTTGTTTCTCTGTGTGCAGTAACTGTTCAAAAGTATCAGACATTTGAGAAGAATTAAACTGTCGAAGAGCACGTCTTGGTTGCTGTGGATGTGCATCTCCCTAGAAGCACGAGGTGGATGGATGTCAGGGTGGTGTATGTGGGATTTATGAGATCTATTAGGTGTTCATAGATTTGCAGAAAGTGTGGACAGCTGTCTGCTTTTATCGACTACATAAACTGCTGCAGCATGAAAATTCGACAGTTGGCTCGAATTTGCGTGTGTGGCAGATATAATATAATTTTCGCCAAGGCCCACTCGACCGGGAATTTAATAGGTTGTCCTTACGGCCGAGTGGAGTGTGCAGAATTGTTAAAGTTAGAGGAAAATATGTGTAGTTGTATTGATGCGTAACAACAGATGAACAAACTCGAAGATAGGAAGTAGTACTTCTTGATTAGGCATCTTAGTCAAGAATATTGTACAACATTATGTTATAAACAATGACACATTTGATCAAAGCCTGTCCCAGGCCACTTGCATAATTAGTATGGGGGCCTTGCGTACGTGTGTGGAGACGGGTATAAATTATTTCATCGATTTACGTGTCTAAATTCATAAATGTAAGGTTGAATATATGGCACCCACTTGTCTCATCAGCTCCTGTGGCCTGCAATAACATTTTCGATGCGTCATGGGTGATCATTGCGAGAAGTTTAAGTTCATACAGTTTGACGTTAATGTAGATTTACACTTTCTATTTGATACTTTTCCTATTCCAGTTTGGAACACTTTACAACCGCAACAGTGAGTGGACTTGAAATTTGTAGAGTTTCCTGTCAAGATTCTGGCTATTTATGGCCTACTTCATGTGTAGACGGCAGTAGCCTTGTCTGCTTGTTTAGTTTGTCTTGTGGCATGTTTGAAGAGTATATCTGACATTTCTCCAACTAACTTGTACACAGGGTGTGAATCTAGTGACACACTTGGCAGTTCGCATAACAAACTGCTCCATGATGTTTGTCAGCATCTTCAACCCCTTCACAGAAGAGGACTCAGAATCTCTCGATAGACTCAACGTTTGTTGACTGGCGTCTCTGGCTGACTTTTTATTGCTGTCTGTATCTTGAACACATACCGAGTAAATCTAGCGGGAAGTGTACATAACATTTACAGTTGGAAAAATCATATACTCATACAAGGAAGTGCATGTGTCCAAATTATGTCTAATGGGTGGACATGCTCTACCAATGAATCGTGGCCACGCAAAGAGCATTGACTCTGAAGTAATTTTCGGTACAAACTTTGATGTAGCATTTGCAATATCTCTCCCAAGCAGGATCTGCTTTTCTGGTTTCGGGATTCGGCCATCTAAAGTCACTCATTTTTATTTGGAAAGTGTGTAGTGGCAAGCTAATTTCATCTGGGTTAGGCATGCCCTTCAAATCAAAGAAAATGGTTAGATTTCTATCTGCCTTGTTGGTAATGCCTACAACCAATTTCATACGTTGCAGGACTTTCTATATTGATCATTTAAAAAGAGTACCTAGAGTTATTGTGTGTCAATTGAAAAGCCAAGATACTATGTAATTAGACTCAAGTGTTTCATTCCATAAACTTGTATTCAATGAAATTTAAGAAGAAAGTAGGAGGTGCTTTATTGTTAGTTTGGTCAATATTTTAAAGTTAAAGTGAATGGTTTAATTGGAAGTGTTAAATGGTCAATTTACATGGTTCAATAAAATCTTAGAGTAAAATTACATTTAGAATGATATAGTTCCAATAGTTGCAGCCACAGGCACATAATTGCCTGTATATATATAGACATACATTAATAGAAATAAATGTGATAAATATATATTGGCATAGAAATAAATATTTTTTAAAGTAATATAAAAAAATGAAATAGTTATAAAGACCAAAACATTTCATATAAATCTTCAAAGTTCTTTGATTTGAATTAATCATAGAATTCACAATAAAAATTATTGTAGAAATTTTAATATAAAAGATATAAAATATCTATATTACTTAATTAAATAGAGGTAGATAAATAAATAAATAAAAAGTAAGCAAGAATATAATAGGTAGGTAAATATCTTTATTAAAAATCTATTATATGAAAATTATATTAATAGATTCTTTTGAATATGTCATATAGCTACAAAAATTTCTTCTATTTTTTATTTTGTTTAGAAAGTTGTTAAAGAAACAACCTAAAAATTAAAAATTGAATATTTAAGCTATAAGCTTCATAATCCTTAAGAAGCTTCTATATAACCTTAATGGCTTTTATATGTAGAGTCAATATTAAGATTATTCTAAATCTTTTTAATTTCTTTGTGTTTAGTAATAAATATTTGAATTTTTTCTATTTGAGAGCCATATTTTTTTTTTCTTTGCTGCTTACTTCTACACAATATATAAATGTATATATGTTTCTTTTTATTAGTATATAAGTATATTTTCTTATCAATTTTTTTTTTAGATTCATGTCTTTAACAACAAAAAATTGTGTGAGATCTAAAAACCTTAGAGTGTTTTTATAAAAATCAAGTAAAAAAAATAAATAATAATTTTGATAGAATATAACATCATATTTTTTTTTGGCTTTACTGACTTTGCTACTTCTAAGCAATATAGATTTTTTTTTTTTTTTTTTTTTTTTTTTTTTTACAAAAATAAAACTAAAAGAATACCTTTTCAAAACATACAAAATATCTCATAATTTTTTTTTTTTTTTTTTTTTTTCTTTATTTTTGCCTTTAAGGGAACACTCATGTTGGGGGGGGGGGCAACATTGGTTTTGAGGCACAAGAGTCTTCCTCTAAGTATTTTTTACAGTATTCTTGACAGAAAGGCTTTGAATTGGCTCCACAGATCATGTAACCATTTGAATGCAAGGGCTGAAATGGTCCACACCAGCTTTGTTTCTGTTAGCCACCTCCCAAGGCATGGACCCAAGCTGCAAACCATACATAGACCCAATTCTATAGGGTACCCCACATTGGGAACATGGCCTTCTCTCCCCTAGGAGTTGTAGCTGAATCCACACAAAATATACCCATTTTGTATTATTATTGGCTCTTGTCTAGCCTATGTAATCCGATTAATTCTGGTGTCTTGGAATCAGGGGCTATTGTGTGTGTTTGGTGTTCAATTTTTTTGATTCTATAACCATCACTGGGTCTGAGGAGCTTTGCCTTTTGGTCCCTTTCTGGCGTAGAGAGCTCCAGTTTTCAAGGGAGGTGGGGGTTGTTTGTTGGGTTCGGCGTTCCCCTCCCATGGGAACCCTGGGAGCTCGTGAGGGGAACATGTAGGGCTCCGTTCACACGGGCTATTGGGTTTCGGATTCCGCATCGTCCTCGGCGGGCGGTAGAACCATGCTCGTTCCGCTTTGTCGAAGCTTGTTTTGCGAGCTTCGCTGTCGTGGTGATCTGTCGCGGCCTTAATGATCTATGCGTTGCAGCTCGCAGGCAAAGTAACGTTACCTGATTGGTCTCGGGATTTGACGAAATTTTCGTCGGATGTGATTTGAGGGTGGTACGCTCTGCTTGTAATGTTTGTCCGTGGTGTCGATTTTTTTGTAATTGTTTCAACAAAAGTTGAACAGAATTTTGAAGTAGGCTTCGTTAGTTGAGCGCGATTGAAGAACGTGCATGAGGTCTGTGGTGATCACCTTCGTTTTTCTGTGTAGAACCTTCCTTGGTTTCATCTGCTTCAAAAAGAATTAGGTCTCTCTGTAGGGTTTTAGGTCATTTTGCCTATTGCTGCATGATGCGTCGAATTTTAAGGTCTTTTAGATGCCTGGATTCTTCACTTGAATAATATCTCTTGTCTCGTTAATGTGCATTGGGTTGACACTATTTAGGGTCTCTGTCCCTGTCTATGCCATTTAGGGTTTAAGCTCCTTGCTGATTTTTTTGGGCGTTGGATGTTGTCGCTTTACATTCCTGTATCGTAGCTCAAGTTTGGATTTCTTTTCGTTTAGAATGGCACAGTAGCAGTAGCTTAAGTCTAACGTGGTAAATCCTGGGGCTAGTGAGAGGACCTGCATTCGTTACTTTGTCTTCAATTTCTGTGAATTCCAGGCTAGTGTAGGTTTCAGATTCGGTTGTACAATTGAATCATCGCATATGGAAAATCTGTTTTACACGGTGGGCATAGAGTGTGACGGCTCTTTCGGTAATATATTCTCAATGTGCACAGAGCTTTTTCTCTGACGTAGGTTGTTTTCGTGAAGCAACAAAGGGACTCTACGTCTTCCGTGTACCGATCCTAATGTTTTTCGTTCTGTTTCTGATTGTGACCTTAAAGATACTAGCTCTGCCTCTTTGTTGGATGGAAGGCCTGTCATGGAGGTGCCGCTGCGCATTTCGGAGTACTGATTAGCTCATGTTGTTTTTAAAGCAGGTTGCGTTGTTGCCGAGGTTTGATTTGGATTACTTTGGATTAACGAGGTCGTGAGAAATCACGATCCTGTGCCATTTCTAGCCATGTCTAGTCGGCAACTGCTGCCGCGATTGCTGCAGCGTGCTTCTCGGTTGGTGACCGCAAATACCACGTCGCATATTGCGCATCGTAACCTGATCCCAGCTAGGGCCTCTCTACCTCATCAATATGAGCCGCCCACCTTCGTGTCTGTGTTAGGAAGCAGAACCTTGTCTACATGTAGCTTGTTTCCAAGTTCGGCGCGTGTCTTAGTTCCTGGGTCGAGAAATGGACTTCAGTTGGCTACAAGGGAAGTTGGATTTACTCCTGCCGACCATACTTATGTACGTTTTCAAACTTTCAAACTCTAAATCCTTACAGCTAAGTTGTTGTCGTTGTTGTCGTTGTTGTTGTTGTTGTTGTTGTTGTTGTTTTTTTCTTTTTTTTCCTGTTTCTATCGTTGTATTTCTGTAACCCTACGAGGACCAATCGTTTTTAGTGACACAGTTTACTGCCGTGTAGATTAAAACTTCTCCAACTCTGAAGTAGCTCATGTAAATCTGTCTTGCACGAATTATTGCACGAAAGTTCTGTCTGATATATTTATGTTGGGGGAGGTTGTTTGCATGCAGGCCCAGCAGAGACGTACATTAACCAAACTGAAGAAGACCAAGATCAAAGCGTACTCGTGAGTTCACATTCATCTTCCATCGCATCTCAGTTTCTTCGGATCCTTTAACCATGCTTCATCATTATGCATGAAATATTTTACCCTATTGATACTCATCGTTAACATGGAAACTTGTTTAATGTAATCTACCATTTATTGCACTGTGACACACTTTTAGCAGGTTCAATACCCTCAGATAATACGGTCTGATATAAATGCGTTGCTTTTGAGTTGTTTCGTTCGAGTTTTATTTAGTTTCTGAACTTAGAAACCCTCTGCCTGATATCGTGTTTGTGGTAGGTCGTATAAGAAGCGGTTCAGAGGAATGGCGAATGGCGAGTATAAACGATGGAGGTCCGGCAAACAGCACAATGCACATTCGAAGGTATGCAGAGGCTCCAATTTTTATGCTGCAATTTATTTTATTTTATTTATTAATCTCTATGATTTCATGGACCTTTATCTTTGAATAAGGTGTTGGGCTGATGGCTCGGATATTTTATGCATGGCAGACCAACAAACAAAAGCGACAGCTTCGACGGCCATCAATTGCTCCTCTTGCTCTTGCTAAAGTTATGAAGAAGCTCAATTTCATGGGTTGAAAGAACTTTTGGTTCGCAGTAGTTGGCCTATTTTCAGCAATCAGAGGCTGTTGAAAGACAGACACCTTGCTGGCATTGCTGTCGGGTGAATTCACGCTGCTGCTAGTGCCAGCATTTTAGTTGCATGAAGTGTGATGTCTTTATGGCAGACTTTTATACTCATGGATAATTGAACAGTATTTCTCCCACTTTTGAGAAAACTTACCTACAGACTGATTGAATTTATATCTCCATTTGATTCGCTACAGGAGCAGGATTTGATTCACTTTATGTTTTACGAACATTGACACAACAGTGGATGGTATGAGACGAAAATGAATTCATTTTTAGGTTAATTAAATCACACAGTATGCTATTACCAACAGGCCATAAAATTCACAGTACTTTGTTACAGTGGGGGTTCCGCTGAACAGTGCTCAGACCGGGCTGCTACTTCTGTGGACGAAATGGCACAAAGATCTAGTCATCCAAATGGGCAGCTTGGGAAAGGTCGCTGCGGAGGGATGGCCGGGAGGGACCTTGTTTTTCGGAAGTGCGCAGGAGAAAGGAATTAGGGTTTGGCGCTGCCGTGTAGTTCTAGTGTTCTGAGTTTGTTTTTGTTTCTGCAATCGAGCTTAATTTCGCACAAATTCTGGCTTAGCATAGAGTAGATAAGACTGTAGGGAGCCTTTCCCGGTCAAATAAATAAATACATATTATTAATTTTTGAGCCTAGTAGGTTAAACAGATGGTGACCTATGTTGATATGGTATTTGGAGTAGTCCATTCCAAGGAAGGTCTCAAGAGCAAACAAAAAAACAACAGGGAGCGAAGAACATCAAAAAAGATCTGGAAGCATTAGATTAGTGCCAGCAAGGAGGTTGGCTGCACTCAACAAGGTTCAATTCATGAAACATTGCCTCACAAATATAGTAAAAGCTACTTTTTCTTCATGGTAAGAACTAATTCTCATGATGTTTTATGTCAAAATATTATACTTTGTGAAAATGTGTGATTAATTCTTGTTTTATTGGCAACATACCAATTATAGAGGTTTTAAAGAAGTGGCTACAAATTTTAGAAGTTGTTGTAAGGAAATCCATATGAATAAGCAAAATAATTGGATAAGGCTTTTTTATTTTTTTAAATATTTAAGCTTACATAAATTAATCTTCCAAATCCTAAAATTATCTTTTAATTGTACCACTCAAAGAATCTACTTCTTGCAATCTTGTAATTTATTATTTGATTCTAAATTGATATAAAATTTTAAAATATTTTTTTTGGATTTTGGAGTATTTTTAATTCCAACTTGAATAATTCTAAAAAACTTGTTAGATGAATCCAAGATAGTTGCCACATAAGTTGCAACAAAGATAAATGATGTATTAAAAAATATTTTCTTTTGTAATGTATTTATTTGAAATTGAAGATAAATGCAAAGATAAATATGATATTAGAAAAAGAAATCATGAACATATATTAAAAAATATTATAATATCTAAGAAATCTATACTATCTTTGAAGCATTATATTGAAGCATGAAATTGAATATGAATACATTCTTTTGTCACTTGAAAAAGAAATAGATAATTACTTAAAGATAGTAAAATATTAAGATTAAAATGACTATTGCTAAAGATAAGAAGACTAGAGACTCTTAAAATAAGACTAGGAAAAAAAAAGATATTAATAAGAACAAAGAAGTCATCACTCTTGTCTTTAAATACTAAATAATTAGATATAATGGAGTATAGATAAGATAATCATATAGTTAATTAGAACCATGGAAGATTCTAGGATTGGAGTTAGGTTAGTGGAGCAAGTAGGATCCATAAAAGAACATTCTAGAAAGACTTTTGGACAGTTATTTAAGTAGGGCCTATTATAGAACCTTCTAAAAAAGACGTAAGATGATTATCTATGTGGGATCTATCACTTAAGAATATTCTAGAAAGTCCAGGGTGATAGGACAAGGTATAAATAGGATTAGCCAGGGCCTTTTGTTGCATCTAGTTAAATATGGCTTTTGATCCTTTCTCTTAGTAAAGTTTGGTTTTGCATCTTTTTGTTCAAATCTATTCTTTTCTATTTTTGTCTACTCACTTGTTTTTCATATCCTATTTTGTGTAGGTCCATTCATTTCTGTTCTAGTCTATTTTATCCTATTTTGTAATAAAATTTCATGTTGTTGTAGAATAGAAGGGACTTGAGTTTTTTTGAAATAGTCTAATCTTGTTTCATTGGTATCAAAGTGAGTGTTAGATTGTTTACCTTTGGTAGTGTGTCAATAGTCATCATTTAGTCCAAGGTCAGTTGTTGTGGTCACAATCGGGAGGTAAAAAGATATTATAAAAGTGGAGTCCAACGAAGAAATTACAATATGAGAGATATGGTAGATCAATTCCAGATGGAGGCTCAAATATAACACCTCTTAGGCCAGATAGCTACTTTGTAGGGACAAATAGAAGCCTTGAGAACAAGAGAGTCAACATCTACTAGATTGAAATTGAGTAAGCCTAGTACATACTCTGAAAATTTAAAACAAGAAGATGTATGTCAATGGCTCTTCAATATGCGACAATACTTCCAATTGTCTATGACAAATTCTAGTGAAGGAATTATATATGCAGTGAGCTATTTGAAAGATGTAGTAGCAATTTGGTGGCAACATCGAGTTCAAAGTTATGGAGTTCAAGGTGGATTTTGTGATTGAGATGAGTTTGAGACCAAATTTACGAATCAATTTTGCCCATCAATGCAAATAAGATAGCACATGATAACTTGGTAAATCTTAGATAAGCTAGGTCAATGTAAGTTTATGTCTTCCAATTCAAGTCCTTATGTCTCCAAATTGACAATGTTTTGGAGGCAGAGATGATGGATTGATTCTTATGAGGTTTGAAACTTGGAGTCCAACAAAAAGTGGAGCTAAGGGATCTACAAACATTCGGAGAGATAATTTGGATTGCAAAGAAGGTCAATGCTATAGATTTTAAAAATCATAGGGCACGACCTATAGCACAAAGTCTTATACCACTATCTAATATTATGGCACAACTACAATGCCAATGGAGATTGATGCCTTATAAAGATCATTGACACTATAAAGATGATAAGTATTGGTACAGAAACGATTGTGTTTCTATTGTCAAGAGCTAGGCCATCACATTAGAGGTTGTCCAAAATGTCAAAGTACAAGTATCAGTAAGATAAGGCAAGTGCACAATCTTGAAATTCACTAAGTCGATAATGAGTCAGAGCAGGAAAACGGGGCTCTCTAATAAAGGCATTGGAGGCCAATATCGGAGGTAGCTATTGTCTCTCAAAGATAAATGGCATAGCCTCAAATAACTATAAAAAGAGTCAACTAGTGCATCTAGTGGGACTACTAAGAGGACAACTATGTCGAGTATTTGTAGATTGTGGCTCTAGAGAAAATTGTATGTCAACTGAAATTACTGACTGATTTAGAATTAAACTAAGAAATTCAAAAGAAGAAGTATATACCTTCTAGATGATCGAGACAATGTATTGATTGAAATATGTGAAGAAAAAATCTTAAGATTGATAGATACCTACATCTTAAGAAAGAGATTCAAGGTAACAAAGCTAAGGTATGATGTTATCCTTGGTATGCCATGATTGGAAATGGAAAATAAATAAGTTGATTGGATAGCAAGGACAACCTCTTTTAAAGATGAAAGATGCAAGGTGACACTTTACACCTCCACATGAAGTGAAGAGAAAAGATAAGCTGTAATTATGGTTGTTGTTTTACTTATTCTATAAATTCTTTTCTGAATAAATTTATAGAAGGAAATTTGAACACAGAAAAAGACTATCGCATAAGCTTACATGTTAGGATTATACAATTAACTATAATTTGAACTACTAAAATACCAAAAAATACTACAATGTTATTTTTCTAGTAATAATACTCCTTTATCAACTGATAACAACAATGTGCAACCTTGCACTCTCAAAAAACTGCTCAAAATACATAAATTCCATCCAACATCAGAAATAATAGACTTCACTCAAACCAATCTAGATTCACAAATTTTTTGTAATCACAGACTTCCTCTGTTGAAACTCACACAATTCTCAATAAACAACAATCATAATCTTCTATCTATAATCAATCTTTCAATAACTTTTCATATAATTCAATCACATAATACTCCAATTATATAATCAATAACTCATAAATCAATCTTTGATTTATTTCTTAGATTCACTTCTCAGTATTCAAAAACTATCCATTACTCTTAAACAACAAAGAAACAAAGAGGTAGCACAAAGCTTATCCTAGCTCATGACTATGACAATCTGGCCCTTACAATATCTTCTTCAACTTACTTATGCTTTACTTTTGAAATTCCAGATTCTAACTGTCATTCTCTACTTAATCATTTTTCACAACTAATTCAATCACCAGTCCTACTGAATTGACTATCCTAAGAATGATTAATCTACTTTATCAATATCTTACAAAAATAAATTTCTATCTCTTTTATAACAACCAAAAACTTACTTGTAAGGATAACCTTTATAAAGAAACAACTATAGTATAAACAACTAGTATACATGGTAGTTCCAAATCTTACGTGAGTGGTTGAAAAGAAAGCCAAAAGAATAGAATGAATAGAACAACTCATACAAGAATATCAAGATGTCTTTTTAATTGACCTATCTAGTGGCATACCTCTTGATTGAGGTGCCTCTTTTCAAATAGAACTATTGCTTGGAGCCAAACTAGTAAGTCGACTAATTTATTGCCTAACACCAAAAAAACTTGAAGAGTTGTGGAAGATATTGAACAAGTTCTTGGAAAAGGGCCTCATTTGAGAAAGCACACTACTATGGAGAGCACATATACTCTTTGTACTTAAGAAAGATGGTAGACTTTATCTTTGCATTGACTATCAAGGTCTCAATAAGCAGATTGTTAAAAATGCATATCTACTTCTATACATAGATGATCTTCTTAATCAACATTGACCTGCAATTATCTTTAATAAATTGGATCTTTGGAGCGACTATTGGCAAATACCTATTGCAAGAGAGGATGTAGAAAAGATGACATTTTGTATGCACTATGGATATTTTGAATGGCTGGTTTTATCCTTTGGCTTCACAAATGCTTCAGCCTCTTTCATGGGTCACATGAATAGATTGTTTTGAAACCTTTTAAATAAGTATGTAATTGTCTTCATTGATGATATCCTTGTACATAATAAAAC